TCAATATGCGTTCATAATTTCATGTACCAAGACTGCCTTGTAAAGACTGTTACTGCTTGCCGTTAAATTAACTTTGATACTTGCTCCTTCAGAGAAAAGCCACAGGAGTTATGCTTTCTTGTAAGTATACTGCACAGCAGTTATCCAATAGTCACAATTTGCTTTATCAACTTGATCTTAAGAAGCTCCAGGTTGCCCCCACCCAGGCTGGACCTTCAGTAACTTGTGCATACTCATGTGAGGCTCAGTTCAGGGCATGGATATTGTAACTAACTGGTCTGGGAATTTTATTTTATTCAATTTCTTTCTTTGTATTGAATTTTTTTTTTTGTCTGACAAGCATGTTGAGTTGGTTGTTGGGCCGCCTCTCTGGGGGGGCCTGTGTGTGTGTATAGATAAAGATGCAGGTGTATATAGATATGCTTTGCGGCTCTGCCGTGTCTTGTTCTCTTCAACGGGTTTGCTGTCCACGCTATGTTAACTTACTGCATTTTATATTTAATTGTTCTTTTGTTCCATAATGTATTTTATTGTATTATTATTATTATTATTATAAATATATATGTTTTTTTAACATTATTATTATTATTATTATTATTTTTGGTTTTTGTTTTATTTTTTATTTTATTATTATTTTATTTAATTTTGTTTACTTATTTACTTATTTTTTCATTACTCTACTTAACTTTTCATAACATTAATCTACATTCATAACTTCAGCATTCCCTGTAAATTTTTTTTTTTTATTTTTTTATTTTTTTTTTATTTAAATAAACTTAACAGTAATTTCATTAATTTTACCTATTTTATCCTTATTATTTGTCAGTTAATTTTTTTTTTGTTCTTTACTTTTCTTTTTTTCGTGTGTGTGTGTTCTCTCTCTGTTCCAGATTTTCACTTTCAGAGGTGTTAGACTGTTAGGTACCAATTAAACCCAGTTTAGGCAAGGGGCTATATGGACTAGTCTCCAGTGCTCCTATAAGAATAACTAAAAAAAAAAAAAATGTGGACGCACTGCACAACGCATTTCGGCATTTGAGATTTAACGCAGACAGTATCAGATGACAGTTTCAGTTACTGTCAGTAGAATAAAAAGCCTTGTGGATCTGCTCTCCTCTGTCGACAAATTATAACATCTATGCCCTTAATTCGATAAAAATTACCGATGTCATTCACGATTCAGTCATTGACTCATAGTCTCATTGTTGAATTTTTCGTTCACAACTTCAACTTGATGACCACTTGAACTTCACTTTAACAACAACTGACCTGTGAACAGCAACATCTTTTCTAAATAATTTCTTCCTTTGATTTGTTGCGGACCAAATCACAACAAAGAGCCTGAAAGAGGCTGATCGCCATAAAAATAAAGACTTCCCTTCCTAGAATAAGTAGAATTATTAGGGCCTAATTGCCCTAATAATAAATAAGAACTAAGTAGAAGAAAGAAACTGAACCAGACATAAGTGCTGCCCTGGCCACAAGTCAGCCAAGTGCCCCCAAATATGCCATATGTATTATGTACTACAGCACTCAGAGCACTGGTTAACTTTATACTGTAGGCTACTTGACTAGTTAACTTAAACTTTATCATTACAAACCAAGAGGCTAAGAGCTTAAAAAATTTTTAAAAAATCCATTAAGTGAAAAAAAATGAAAACTATCAATCAAACAAGAGACATTCAAATTATTTCAAACAATTCTATAACAAATCTGAGGCAATTGCCTCCATGAATACTAGAATTCAATACATAGAGGCCACCCTGCTGCCCTGCAGCTGGAATAAGACAAATAGGCCTAGTTCAAGGCTAGTTGGTCTAAAAATCCTAATTAATATTAACCAAACATTCAACACCTGATGAATTGGAAAGTAACAGGAAGATTGACTTGACATGCCATGCCCTCATTAGTCAATAGTCATTGCCCTGTAGCTCACATCAAATGAATTCCCTGATACACTGCACAGTGGCTGTGGTGACAGTGCACCCACACCACTGTGCAGAGAGTGAACAAAGATTTAAAGACCTACGGCGACGCATTATTGGCAAAATTTTCGCCTTCAGAAGATCTTGCCGACACATTTAGATTGAAATTCTTGCATTTAATATATTTCTCAGTCTTCAGCCAACTATTTAGAAAAAAAGTAAGGTTTCTGGTACGTTGGATGGATTACGATGCAGCGAAGCTTGTCCGGAAATCAGTTGTAATGAGTTCCAGCAAAAAATGTAAACAACTTTTTTTCGGTTGCGTAGTTTCGGTCGCATTAGAGCGGTCAGACTGCTTTATTACTTGTTCAGTTGACACTTGCTGTACAATCGGACTGTTTTTAGGGTAAAATTAGTTATTTGGGGTAACACGTGCATGCAACCTTGTAATAAGTTCGTGGCTTGTAATTAATAGTTCGTCATTACTCAGCGTAAATGGCTTTTCATTAAAAATTACCCGGCGACGCATCTTTAAAATGGCCGGCGACGCTTTGGGCTTAAAAATCCATATATTGACAACGCTGCATCCACCCTCTGCATAGTGGCACCCACACTGCCAAGGCGCTCCTCTTGAGTCTTGACCAAAGGTGTCATTTCCAGTTTTCCATTTCCAGCTTGTTGAGAGTCATGAAGTAGATCTGGCCATCTGGCAGTCTGGCACAAGGACTGTCAAGGAGCTGCCTTTGGCAGACAAGAAGAACACCTGCACATTTGTAGCACATAATGTCATAAAAGAGTCTCAGCACAATAAGATGAGAATTGTCTCCTTGTCAACGGATTCATTTGCCATTTGGTGATGAGAAAAAACTGGTTGCACTCATTAAGTAATGAGAGTCACCTGCCAGGCTCTCTTAAGTCACCTGCCAGGCTCTCCCAGTAAAGACTTGGTTATTCTTGGCCCACACCTGGCAGAGCACTGTATCTAAGAAAAGCTTTCCACCTTGGGTGGAAACCATTTTTCCATTTTCCATGAACTTCCATTCTTGGAATTCCAGCCTGCTGAACCTTAACAAGCATATGATATATCTAAATAGTCTTATGGGGTTTTTATTAACAAGCAGCAAGATTAAAAATTTCCAACTTACTACTGAAATCTGGCAGCTCAAAATTAATAAATATTTAATAAATTTGGAATTGTGCAGCCTAATTTGGAATTGTGCACTTATGTTAACACTATTATAATAGATAATTCATTTAGCAGCAATATTGCAGCTCTTAAAATGAGGGAAAAGCTCTAGTCAGTAGTCCACTCCCATCATTAGCAGTGGATTTATATTGTATCATACCTGCGTCAAGTTAAGTGCTGTTAACTTGAGTGGCTTTTTTAGTGGCAAAATTCTCATTGTTTCAAAAGTTGTGGTAAAGCTTGCGTGATAAACATTAAACAGATAAAGGAGACTTGTAGAATAGATATTTTTTTATTATAAAAAATTTATTGATTATATTTATAGACTATAGGTGCTATTAGGGAATGGCCTGGAATGTCAGTTGCCCAGGGTGCAGAGGGTGCAAGCAGCATTGCCAAATGCCAAGATATGGATTTTTAGCTTGAAGCATCGCCAGCCATTTTCAAGATCCGTCGCCAGGTAAATTTTAATAAGAAAGTGCTGCAAGCAACTTTGATAGTGTTGCATCAGATAAATAATAATAATATCTCTTACTCTCCACACACCACAACACTTACACACATTGCAACTGATTTCTGGGCAAGCTTCACTGCATCCTGATCCATCCAGCATTCCGGAAACCCTACTGTGTGTGCTTACAGTCTCAGATTTGCAGTAATTTTAAAGTAATTTAAAAAATGCAATAATTTCAATCTAGATGTGTTATCAAGATCTTCAGAAGGCATAAATTTTGCTGCTGATGCATCACCAACTATCTTTTGATATTTACCCACTTTCTGCACCCTAGCCAGTTGTCACTGCTGCCTATCTCTTGTTTTTCTGTCTACTTTCCAAGAGCTTTTTGGTTATTTTGTACTATTATTAAAGCTTCAAATTTCTCTCCAGATAAGTAGTTTGCTATCTCATTGCTATAAAAATTGAAACACTGTTCCACAAAATTGTTAATTAATGTAACTCTAATGCAGTTGGTAATATTGGGCAAAATTTTCCATAAATTGAGATAAAAACTATTGTTTTAAGGATAATTTTCCCAAGTCAGACTCAGATGCAAGAATATGCCATTTTTTTTATTTTTCATGGAAGAACATAGGCAAGGTTATGGAAATGTATGAAATTAACCACTAAATATGTTTTTTTTTAATCTCATTCATAGCTGGCAAATTTTCCCAAATGGACCTAAACCTAGGACAGGAGCTACTGTTGTAAGCCAAGTTGCCACTTAGCAGCCACTGCACTTAACTTGCTGCTTGATAATAAAAACTGTATATTACTGGTTATAATTATGATTTGTAGGGTTTGATTCCCAGATAAATACCGTAATGAGGAGCATGTTTGTTAAACATGCTAAAAAGTTGCTGCTCACTGCTCAGTTTTGTTCACAGAATACCTAGATTGTTTGTTTCTAAGGCCGATGGAATAATTGCTGTGGTATAGTTGGTGTCTTTGATGGGATAAGATTTTAGTTGAAACTATGTTTTTTACAATTTTTAACTCATTTTATAATTGTGAAACTTGTCTGAGTTTGATGATCGACAGTAGGAACAACTTGGTAAATCAATATATATGTGTATGCAGAATTAAAACATTTCATTTTACTAGCAAAGTATTGGCAACTTTGCAAAAAAGTTATTCCTAGTAGAGTTTCTCTATTGGTATGTTTTGGTTAGGACTATTTGAATCTATTAATTCTATGCAAGAAAACCTTCATTCTACTAATTCCATCCTGCATTAGAAATCAGCTGGTATTTTTGGTTCAATTGACTCAGATAAACAAAATTAAATAAATGAACCACATGTACTCATGTACTGGAATAATTTAATTTTTTTGCAACCAATCATTGATCAGCCAAGCAAGCGTTGAATAATAAATTATCAATGTGCAGGTTTTTTTACTGGGATAACCAGTTTGCATATAACAAGACTAATATGACTAGACATAGCTGAAGGTATAATTATGGAAGCTATGGAAGGCTTAATCAACAAGGCAGATGTGAGTATTTATCATGTTAATGGATGATTTATATGGTTGTAATTATGTATTATAAATGTTCTTGCTTGGCCCAGGGTTAAATTCCAGAGTTGTATCTGTGAACAGCCACATGGTGTGATACTCTTGACAACAAAGCCAAACTCAACAAGACCATCACTAGCACTGTGCTGAAGGAACCCACCAGCATCATCATCATGCAGTGACTGGACATCATCTGACTGACAATAGCTGTAGCCCTCAGCTCGATGGATTGAACTCCAGCTATCTCATAACCACCCAATTTCTGAACTCTGAAACTTTCTGACTTATTTTCTGGTTCCAAATTTTTGTGTTGTATCCTATTTACTTGTATCATGTACTCATTTACATCAAAATTTCATTGTTCAATGCTTCCTTTCATTTAAAAATGAATGATGCTGCATTCAGATTGTCTTTTATAAATTGAAATTACTTTTTTAAACCTGTCTTTTGATCAACCTCATCTGATGAATTATTTAGCCTTGAAAATTTGAGTTATTAAATTCTCTGGTCATTAATTTCACACATTTGAACAAAATATCTATGTATATAAAATGGAATAAAACTGACTATAATCTATCAACTAAAATACCTACATATGGTACAGATTTTCTCAATGAATTCTCAATCAGTAAAGATTATAGCTTGTAATCTAGGAGTGTTACGGTATCTATGGAGAGTTCTGATTTTCCATCATCATCATAACCCCAGAATTGGCATCCTTGCCTTACATCATACCATAATTTACAGATTGGGATAACCAGTTGCTTTGGCATGCTTTGCCGGAAAATAAGACTTTGACTTTCTTTACTCTCTATTTTGATTAGGATAAGTCTTTATTTATAATATGACATAAATAAGCCTAATTGGAAATTTCATTAAATAATTCAGGAACTTGGCTGATTGACTTCTTACTTTTATCCAGTAGGTAATTAATTTGCACATTTAGCAACTCTGGAATCTTCTGAGACATCAACATACCTAGCTTTTTTATGACATGCATTATATGTTTGTTAAGTTAGCAAGTTACTCCCTAATGAGAAGAGTAACTTTGTTTTGGAGCAGAGTAACTTTTCTAAGTAATTTCTTAACTTATATGACAACTGAGTTTCTTCAGCTGAGGACTATCATGATTGCTCTACTGCTTTGCTATTAGCTTCTGTTATATCAGTGATTTATTTATTTATTTCATTTCATTATTTCGGACTCATTGTAGTAAACGTTGGCCAATATCTTGCATCATTATAACTCCTCCACTGAGCTTGGCTTTATTTTACAGGCGGTGCTCTGCCAGAGTCACAACTCTTTAATATCACTTGGAAGTGCTGCTCTGGCTGGTCATGCTGCTCTGCCGCGCAAACTTGCTGCCATCTATGCAGAAGAAGCAGTCAAGCCCAGCAAAATAAAGGTACCCTTGGATCATATTCACATTTTCATGCTTTAAACTGAGAAACTGAATACCATATCCTATATTAAATTGAATTAATTTCACAGTTACTGAATTATTTTCTTGTTAGATTAAATATATCAAATTAAATATTCAAAATATAATAATAAATATATATAAATATTAAATTAAATATTCTCCTTATTATTAAATAGGTTTCTTTTTGCCATATAAACCTATTTATCTGCATACAAATATCAAAAGATTCTCCTACAAGCTCTAAGTTTGAAAAATTCTTAATGCTTGCAATTTATTGGTTTTTGGAAATTTAGAATGGTGATGTCATCATTTAAATTGGAGTTGTTTGATGTTTACAGCAAAGTATTGTGCACACAAGTGAGCTGATCGGGAAGCTAGTGGAGCGAGAGAATCTGAGCTGCCTGATAGTGAACTTGTACCGCGGCAGCGAGGGTTACAGCATCGCTCTGAAGCTCCCTGGGGGACTCGAGACTGAGACCATCAGGCTGCCTTATGAAGATGATGAGTTTCTCACTTACATAGGTGTGTTGTTTGGCCATTGAATTCGCTATCCTGGTGATCTTGAAAAGCTACTCTTATGATTTATTGGATACTTTTGTTAAATGTAAATCTATCAAGTGATACTAGATTTATACTGGATTTAGTTCTGCCACTATGGTACTTGAATTGGGCCACATTCATATGCTTATTTCAATATATCATACAATGGCAGCTTGGAATCTCTGAGAAACTTACACTAAAGTTAGCTAAAACCTAAATTGGTATCCATGCATAACTTTTGATTATTGAAAGTGTACATAGATTTTTAATCCAACTTTTTAATCTGTATTTATGGTCTAGTCTATATATTGTGCTTGGACATCTACCTATAGTGTATATAATTTCATTTTGACACTTTATTCATAATATAAAAACTTCAAGTTTAACTGCCTGTAATTTGTTCTCCTTTGGAATTCATTGTCATTGAAGCAGATCTAAATGTTCAAGAATTTAATAATTCTTATGTTTAGATGTCATGGTTGATGCTACAAGTTTCAGGATACAATTTTAAGCTTGGCTGTATACCACAGCTGATCGGCAGATCTTGAAAGTTGCAAATATATGTAATATGTCCTATTTACTTACTTTATATAGATTTATTTTGAGCCTCTTCTTTGTTGTTTGTCATCATAGTTGAGCAACTCATCTCATATTAAGTAATTTTGAATTTTTATTAAGTCTGTAATGTGATTAGACCAGGAACTGCTGCCTCCCATGCTGCTTGATCTGCTGGACGAGGCGGACGTGAGTGACATGTTTCAGAGCGGGTGTCTAGTGGCCGAGCTGCGCGACTACCGCCGCTGCAACGCCGAGCCTGTCTTCCTCAGCTCCGCCCTCGGTGCCTCCAACGGCCCACACTGCGACAAGCGCCACGTCTTGCTGCGTCCCTCCATGCAGGTGCGGCTCTTCTCATCTCATCAGTTTGAGTTGCGCAACAGAAAGATGGATGTCGTAACCCATCAATCTTCTTTGATCGAGACAATTCTGTGTTATATATAAAGTAATGATGATGAACTCACTGCCGTCTCAGTGAGTTCGTTAATTATCTCGTTGACTATTCGCTACAAGTGACAAATGGCTGGAAGTTTTTCCACCGGAACATCATGTCACGAGTTTTGAAAAGGAAATAAAAGACGTTAGTAGTGTGAGATAAGGACAAAATAATTAGCATCTATCGAAGTCGACATTAAGAGTGAGCTGCTATGATGTAACGTGACGGGATCGGAATGATTTTGTGTTCATTTCACAGAGCATCGCTGCGGACATAGCCTACCTGACGCGTGAGAAGGACTGGAGCAACAGCGAGCGCGCCAAGCTCGAGGCGGAGATCGTGCGCGCCACAGCCCCGCCGCTCTGCCTCTCCCCTGACCTGTCAGCGTCGCTCATCACGCGGCGTCTGCACACACACAACAAAGCTCTGCACTCGCCCTTAGTCAGGCGTGCTGCTAAACGGTTCAGTCAGGTCTGTTGTCTCGTACGTCCTAGAGGTTCAGTCAGGTCTGTTGTCTCGTACGTCCTAGAGGTTCAGTCAGGTCTGTTGTCTCGTACGTCCTAGAGGTTCAGTCAGGTCTGTTGTCTGGTTCATCCTATACATCCCAGAGGTTCAGTAAGGTCTGTTGTCTCGTGCATCCTAGAGGTTCAGTCAGATCTGTTGACTCGTACATCCTAGAGGTTCAGTCAGGTCTGTTGACTCGTACATCCTAGAGGTTGGTGGAAGTTTTGGAGATATAAGAAATAATAGGGAAACATTTCCGCATTTGAACGTTAGATTATTTCCTTTCCTTGTATTAATCATGAATTACTTTCTGCATCTGTTGATGATATTTTATTTCGTTTTGTAGTATTAGCTTCTAATGACAATAATTTGACAACCCCTATTATACCTAATAAATCAAGTTGCATATCCTTGTATACACGTAGCAATAATCAGTAATGAAGGTGCAATGCTAAAGCTTCTCCCCCTGATGCAGCCCTCACAGGTCCGGCAGAAGAAGTTCGAGGACGGTCCTGCCCCTAAATGCCTCAGGCTTTATAACTTCCTTAACGAGCGCAAAGAGAAGCGTGCGCTCGCCAAATCTGTGCCTAAACCTGTATGTATCGCTTATCTCTTGCAAGTTGAAGTGTGGATAATATTGCTGACGTTTAAGTACCGTAAAATGGGGTAACTTAGACCGGCGGGGTAACTTAGACCACTTTTTGTTTTATGTTTCAATTCAAGTTTAATTTAGCTAGTAAAAAAATGGCATCATTTATAATAAAAAAAGTGGTCTAAGTTACCCCATTTTACGGTATCATTAACTATTTTCTTTTGTAGATCGGCACGTAGCATAATTTACAAAAACGTGTCTTCCATGTAAGTTAATGATACATTGCAGTTTGACATCCGCAAGGGATGGATACAGAGTGATTGGATAGTTTGATTCTACTATTTATGCGAAATGTTTATCCCAAGCAAAGTTTCTTCCAAAAATTGTTTGAAAGTATTCAATCCAATACTTCTGTAGCTATTATTGTAATCCTATTCGTTACAAAATCTAGCTACTAGTGTGTCAATTCAAAAATGTATTTTTTCAGAAGCGTAACCTTCAAAAAAACGTCATTTCCTTACAGTAAAAAACGTCATTTCCTTACAGTTAGTTCCGATAATTTCTGATCAAACTTTGGGCCCGAACTCGTCTGAGCTGTTCGGCGGCGCCATCCCGAGCATTAAAGACTTCATGGATAATGTCATCGAAGAGGTTCAGAAGCACGCCAAACCTGTGGAGAGGCCGCCCGAGAGTGGCGATTATTCCCTGCAGTTTATAGAGGAGTACACTCTCGAGACTGAGAAGAGCCAGGGCCGGATCTACCATACCAAGTAAGTTTTAAGATCAGCTTGTCATTTTCACATCTACAACCACGCCGTTTCTCTCGATTCCTTTTCCGTGGTTGGGCGGATTTCTTTATTCATATAATATTATCGAAAATGACGACGTGTTTTTTTTCTCAGTCAATATAGTTTATGTTATTTCATCTTCACCTTCAAGTTCATGGTTTTTTTCAACTACATTGAATACCAGGAGTTTATCCTTGAGATCTTTTATCATATATAAGACTATGTTTTGCTTCAGGTTGACGATATATCAACGCCGAATTGATGAGGTATTTTGTGGTGAGCTTTACGTTGATAGAGACTACCAGGAGGGCAAGCTCAACGGATCCACGTGCACGTAAGTGAAGGAACAAATGAGCTTTTTATTATGTAATTTAATATATCAGTTAGTTTGATAAAGTAATCGCGATTTTTTAATCAAATGAATGATAATTGCCCGTTACTTATAATGTGTAGAATTAATTTCAATGGTCTGCAAATATTAGATGAAGTAAGCTGGTGTATAAATATAGCCTTCTAGCAATTATTCATGTAGAGGATTGGTAATACAGACCAGCTGTCAGGTCAGTTGGTTATTCCCAGCGATACACGACTCGGATTTACAGAATTTATTAAGGATCCTGACATAAACTTGCATCATCTTAATCCCAACTTGCGTATTTTCTAACGTATACATTGCCTTTTAGCGTTAGTCCAAATTAGAATGCTGCTAGCAAATTAGGGGACTTGCCTGTTTTACAAGCTCTGGTGGCTTACTTTTTTATTTGCAAATCATAAGAACTACTTATATTGAACTGCTCAGGTACTGTTTCAATGATAAGTATTTTACATACACGCTGCGCCTACAGATGGGCGTTGATACAACGTAATTTCGTGAAGTTTGATGCCCAATCTGTAGTTACGCGATGCAATTTTGTGTCTACATTTGAATGTAACAGGTAATTTCCCACCGATTTGTCATAATTTGCGTGAGTTTTATTTTATTTTAAATATTTTTGCTTCATGATTATGTTAATTATCTTTATATATTATTGAAAATTGACAGGTTCAAGCATTACTCAATACAGTCTGTACACCGATACATCGCACAGTTCAGGGAGATCTTCTCAGAAGAGGGGCGCAAGAGCGTCAAGATAAAGCACGTTGTGAGTATATATTCACTAACATTCCTTTATGTTAACAATTCGTGATCAGTGAATAACGGTAATTGCACACGAAGTCTCCATTGAACACGAGTCGGCCAGTTTAAGGGGACCGACTACCCTCCGGAAAAACTTCTACAGTTATTATCCGATCATCATGAAACTTCAAATACATACGTAAAATGTAAAAAAATAACATTTTGCTTCTATGAATTTTTCGAAAAAAATGAGGGTGCAGCAGCAGCAGGTAAGAGACCTGCAGCAGTAGGAGCGGGTCAACGTATTGGGAGCTGCGTGTCACATGTACTGACGGTCTGACTAAACGTCAGAATAAAGTCGCGAATTGTTACCGTGTCGTGAATCCCTATCAACGTATGAGTGATGGGGCAGTTACGATCCAAAAAAACGGCTTAACGCGACTCTTGCTACGAAGCGAAGCTTCTAAAATTACGAACAGAATTTTGATGAGTGTGGGCTATTAAAGGGTTAAAGTCGAGCTCCAGAATATTTTGTACATTTGCAAAGTTTGTCGGTATAAGAGTTAAAATCCATGAATCTGTGCATCTGGTCTGTCAGCATTACGGAAGGATAATTGTCGATTTAAAACTAAGAGTGTGTAGGTAGTGCAAATCCTATTTCGCACCTAACCTAATCTTAAGTTTAATTGAGCTTCATCCATACGAGCTGACTCGATTACAGACTGCAATGTAGAATGGTATTCTTTCGGCCTACGTCGCCGTACAGTCTAGATATTAATATTTAAGAGATATTAATATTTCTAGATATTATTAATTAATTGAGTGCTGCCTGAACAAATTTCATGAGTAATAACAATAAATATATTTGCTGTGCAGAAGTCAGTAGGTGGCGCTGCCCCAGCACCGCCGTACAACCAGCAGCAGAACGTACTCATCGTCACTAACGTGAGTCGTGGAGCTTGTCCCTATTTTATGATAACCATTCGCATGAAGCCATAATGATATTATATGGCTTCTTATTAATATTATATATTCAATCATTATAGCGTGGGGCTAAAATGAGCTACACAAACAGCTGATGTAGGCCTAGCATGAGAGTGAGTTGCGGTGTGAAGCGTTAGTGAACACTGAATAGAGTGGAAACTCTGGTGGGGAGGTTGCGTTGAGAGTTGTCTTTCAACCTAATTAGTAGTTCGTGTTTTGTGATACTTCTTTTATCTTTAGGGCGAAGGCAGTGCATTGAAATATTCTTTCCATCGATTTGATTGTTTTGTTTATGTCATTGTATTTACTAACTATTCATCATACTAACGGACAATGTCTATTGCTCCTAGTGAATCTAACAAATAAGTGTAATTATGTACTAGTATGTTGTTGTGTAGTATGCAGTAGTATCAACTGTTACTACATGTTATGTAGTAGTAGGCAGCTTTAAGAATATTGCTGATGTATAATTAAAAGCAAATACCGTAAATGTTATTGCCTTTAATATTTCAATTTTTCATGACTCGCAAGGCGTCGTGGTCAAGGCTTGGCTTGCTTGACAAGTTTCCACTGAGCCGTTATACCTTCAGCTTACATAAGCCAACAATTAGTATCGTTACAGCAATTGTATCAGCTATTTGTATCATGAAACTGATAGATTATTCAATACGCCTGCAGGGAGAGCGCGGTCTGCAGCAGCAGGCACAGAAGCTACCAGCAGGCGCTGTGGTGATATCCAAGGCGCAGGCGCAGGCGCTGTCAGGCGTCGCTGTCACCGTACAGGCGCAGCGTCTGCACCATCCTGTCACTGGTAACTCAGGTCTCATGCAAGAGTTTCTTAACATTTGTCTCAAATTAACTCATTAACCATGCCCCGATACATATATCTTTATTAAGGTGATTGTTACCATTTTCAGAAATTAACTCAGCAGCCATGCCCCCAAATAAAGTTTGGAAAGGAATAGTAATAAATTTGCTTGTCTTTACTTACTTATCCACCGAAAAATAATTATAATCATTGAATACTCGCAAGGAAATTCTCATTACAAGTTGGCTATAAGAGTTTGCAATATTGTTGCCAGTTACGCGTCGTGCTGAAATAGAACTTTTAAAGATTCGTACCCAGGATAAATACTTGCAGCTATGTACAGGGTGAACCAGAATTAAGTAACCCTTTTAATTTGTTAATAAATAAAAAACTAAGAACGTTATGAAGTTGAAACTTGTTTTATTTAAAAGAAGAACATTTTCATGGTAATATTGTATCATAGTTACGTCATTATCCTGTATAGCTTGCTAAATTTGTGTTTAATTATCAAGCCTTAAATTTTCATCATGATTCGCTACAGCAAAGAAAAAAGAACGAAAATTCTGCAAACCTACATCAGGACGATGTCAATAACAGAAGTTCAACGTGATCACAGGATCCATTTCAAAACAAGAATCAGTCCTTTAAAAAAAAAAACAATTAAATCTCTTTATCGAAAATTTGCGGATACCGGGAAATTACTAATGAAGGTTATGAAAGCAGCGAAGAGAAGAGCCCTATTTTGTCAAAACAATTGTGGTGGGCATTTAAAAGATATTATATTTAAAAACTAGGTTACAATATTACCATAAAAATGTTCTTCTTTTAAATAAAACAAGTTTCAACTTCATAACGTTCTTAGTTTTTTATTTATTAACAAATTAAAAGGGATACTTAATTCTGGTTCACCCTGTAGTTCTCACTCCTGTGTAAACTTTGTAGAAATCGTAGATAACCTGTCAATATATGTGTAAATTTAACAATTTATGGCTTTCAATGTAAATTTCTTCATTAGTTGTTTTGCTAAGCTCACATGTACTTTATGAAATAGAGAATGTCAGTGAATATGTACTCTTGAGGATTCTTATACGCCTTGTCCTGCAACCCACATGATATTTATATTCATTGTAAGTCTCTTTTAATGGTTCTAATATCGCCACTGATTTAGCTATTGCAGAAAACGACAAGTGATTGATGCATTAGGTAACCTTAATTATGAGGCATTGTTTGACAGGCTTGTCAGTGAGTCAGCAGGGCCAGCAGCTGCAGCAGCAGTCACAGCAACAGCCACAGCAGCAGCAGCAGCAGCCCGTGCTGCTGAGCCGCAACGTGCACCTCAGCAGTCTGCTGTCTGGTCGCGCTGTCGTCACCGCTGCTCAAGCCGTCGGCGCAGGACGCTCTGCACTGCCTGTATCTGGTCAGCGGTGTCCTCCGAAACCGGCTTAATATTCCCAGATATTCCAAGAAATTCCCAAATATTCCTTGATATTCCAAATATTCCTTGATATTCCCACATCTTCTAAAAATTCCCTGATACCGGTATCAACTGATATTCCCAGATATTCCATGATGCTTCTGTACCTATATTCCCACATAGTATTCCGAAATGTTCCCAGATATTCCTTGATGTTCCCATATATTCCCCGATATTCCCAGATATTCTATAAATTCCCTGATATCAACACATATCCCCTGATACTACTGTATATTCCCAGATATTCCGAAATGTTCCCATATATTCCCTGATGTTCCCAGTCTCGCGAGATTTTCCCACCGAACTGAATGCCTGGTAGGCTAAGCGGCGGGCGGGCCGGGCGGTGGTAGCTTTATGTACCAACAGTTGAGTGTATGTCTTGATTTCAAAGGATTTATCTCGTGTTTATAGTAGTAGCGAACTTGCTCATATCAGACGTTAATATAGATCGCTTTGGAAAATATTTACATGCCAGGCAAATTTGATGCCTAGAAAGTTTATTGCAATTCTGCTGGAAAGAACCTTTATGGACTTATTTTGTTCATCTATTTTGTGGCGTCGGGCGAGAATGCCAAATAATAAGTAATGATTACTTGATTCGCTTGCCAGGCATTGCTTTCTTACCTCTAGTGGCATATCTATTACAAAATGAATCATGTAATAAGAAATACTCTCCTGAATCTGTACTCTGATATATTTTCAGCGATGAGCCTAATAAGTAATATAATTTTCATGCACTTCAATTTGTTCCAGGCTGCGCTGGTGTCAGTTCCGCCATGACAGTCAAGGTGAGTGTCGTAGCTGGTCCAGAACTCGTTCCTCCTTGAGACTGGAGAATTGTAAAAACGATAATAAAGGCGTTTTTACTTGAACCTTCTGACCACTTTTCTATAGAAATTTCAAGAAATTTATGCTAGTACAAGGACAATAAATTCAACCGAAACTCCTTACAATCAGACCTAGTCAAGGAAGCTACAATGTTGGTCTCACAAATACGGTCGAAGTTATTGTTTTTTTTCTTTAATTGAAATCGAATTTCAACTGAAAGTTATTACCAAGAAATATTTGTTATTTCAGTGTGGGGACGTCAAGAGCGAGTCTGTGTTCACCACGGCGGGGCCTGGGGCGGTGCCTGCCCTGCAAGCTCTCCTCGCTGGTAACATTTATTTATTACCTCAGTACACGGAGAAAATTTTAAATTTTTTAGCTTAAAATAATGAAAATGAATGAAAACATCTATAAATCACCTATGTCTTCTATGTCAGTGATATTAATTGTCCAAGTAATTTCATCACTTTATAACTATCAGTCATCCTTGCAAGTAAGCTCTTGGCAGTAATTGTTGCAAATTCAGAAAATTATGATTTCATCTCAACGGGAATATGATCTCATTGAGAATTCCGGAACAGTTCCTATATTTTCTACATTACTATATGATCCAAACAATCATTCTATCAACATTTCTCCCGCGGTTACTCATGTCCGCTACAATAACCGTGCAATGCTTGTCGTTTCACTTCTAAATCATAAGGCACATTCAATCATCGAGAAATTAGTTGACATTCTTATAATATTATCATGCAAAATTTCGTACGTTGTATCATGCTTGCATCTCCCCTCCAGGTACGCCGTCAGCAGAGAACCCCGCACCGAACAGCAGGAACGCTGAGCTCATCAAGCGCCTGGCGCAGCAGACCGCCCAGCCTAACAAAGTAATCATGGACAACTTAGGCACTCTATTATCATGCTACTTTGAACTGAAATAATTGTAAGTTGTACGAGTATAATAGGGTTGAATACATGCGTTTTGTTCAACCTTCATTGTATATAATTATTTATACTAGTTATGTACCTCGAGCACCTGTTCTGTATGTTTTGCTGACAGTTTGCTGTATTTCTTTGCGAAACAATATTTATTTCTCCTGCATTTGCTTGTTGCAAATATTGTTTTGATGCCGTGATATGTGAACAGAATATGTCTTTAACATTTTACAAGTACCTGCACGTCGTTGTTGGCTGTATTAAATTGTTCAATTTTTTAACTTGCTTAATTTTTTAATTACAATTTTCAATTATAAATTAACCAATGTTCAGGGTGACATCAAGACGGGTGTGAAGGTTGACATCACCGCCAGCGCGCTGCCTACCATCACCACCATCAACTGTACCCCCACCACAGGTGCGCGTTCTCTACACTAAATTATTCGCATCTCGATGTTAAGACTAAAATTACTTCATATTACTGGAACTGTAGGCTCACGAATATTTTTAATTCACGTTCAGTGAAGAAACTAAACGGGATTTTGTTGCCGAAAAAATTAAATTATTTTTTGAGCTAAAGTTATTTACATCAATGCATGCTCAGTTTTCGTAGAATTATAGACTGGGAGCTTTGGGAAAACCAGTTGTGGTGGCTGCAGTTTGGTATTAACACAATTATTGCGCCATGCCTGATAGTGCACAGTGAGCCAACACGGCGTGTGACGTGACGCATCGCTAGTCATGAGTCTTCCTCATGTCATAGGAATCCATCGGATTGTGCATTAACTAACCGGCTATTGTACCAATTTATTTTGACCAGCTGAAGTTAATTAATTTGATTTAAGGTGTCGTATATTAAGGTCATCGCCAAACAAAAATGTCACGGAAGGATCGGTAGATCTTTTTGCAGAAACACTAAGATGATTTTATCGCTGGCAAAACATATTGAATTGAAGTTGTACGAAAGAAATATGCATGCAGATGTTAACAAAACTATTATGTGTCTAGGAAGTTTGGTGTGCAGCAGTGGCAGCAACTCTGCCCTGTCAAGTCTGCTGAGCGGCAGCAGCAGCAGCGCCGGTCAGCAGCAGTCTTCCCTGACGGCCGCGGTGCTCAGGAGCGACTCTGGCAACGCCCCTCCGCCCAACATCAATATTGCGAACATCGCAAACCTGCCCGGTGCGTCGTATGGCTGGCCCTGCTCTTCTTTATCGGCCAACTTGAACAAGTGCTAATAAAAATATAATAGCAATAATAAGTGCTAATCAATAGGCTAAAAAAGAATAGACTTTAGGTAGGCTTTGGATAGTTTTTAAATAAAACATTTGGAGCTCCTAATATAAGAAAGAAAATTAGATGATAAAGTCAACCTTGTCTCTTTTTAACAAAGTGACAAAGATAGGAGGCACGTATCTCGTCCTGCTCCTTATTTCTAACACGGGTAGAAGTAAGGAACAAGTTATGCCTCTCCATCTCGCCACCTTGACGCTCGTGTCCCGCCAGGCCTGAACGTGGGGCTGCAGAACCTGACGAGTGGCTTGGGCGGCGTGCAGAACGTGCAGGTCTCAATCCCTGGCCTGCCCGTGCCCATCTCGCTCTCCCTCTCCGCCGGCCCTCCCACCTCTTCCGCCTCATTACCTCATCAGGTATTTTCCTCTTATCCTATTTATTAAGAGGACTAGGGGTCAATAAGAGAACAGGTAGGATGAAATGTTAACATGTCAACTCTCCTTTACATCATTATTTATTTACCGCGTTTCAATTTTCGTATTGAATACGACACTGAAAGATATGAAAATTTGCAGTTTTGATGAATTAGTTTTTTTATGTTTTTTGTTGAAGAGCAAGAGTAGGGTGATGAACAATATTTTTAATTATCAACAGTCTTATATTATCTAATATTAGACTGTATCTAATATAATGCAAGGATGTTTCATGCCACGTGGCGACGTCAGAATCGCATGTTATGCTGTGACCATCTCATGTCACGGCGACCCGGTGATGCAGAATATACCTAGTTATTCAGCAGCAGTTGTTGCCTGCACAAGCACGGCGCTCACTAAAGAGTTTTTAGCCATAACTGTAAGTTAGTAGAAATTTTTAGCCATAACTGTAAGTTAGTAGAAGTTTTTAGTCATAACTGTAAGTTAGTAGAAGTTTTTAGCCATAGCGTTGAGTTAATAAAAGTTTTTAGCCATAGCAATAAGTTAATAAAAGTTTCAAGCCGTCGCATTATGTTAATAAAAAATACATAAGGAAACATTGTCGGGCGAATCACCACAGTCACGCAGCAAACCGTTCTCCACAGTAATGACCGTGAACTAATGATGAGAGATAAAGAAATAATGACCGCCACTCAGAAGATGTTTGCTATGAGCTTGTTAATAAATAATCGCTCTCGCTTTACTAAGACCTTTCAAATGCCATGCTGTACGCTCCTACATATAATATTGAGAGCATGCAGTGCCCTGTTGAAAAGCTTCATGGTTGTAAATTTAGTGTATTGGAAAATGCTTCATGATAGTTGAATATCTTCACCGAGTTGTTTATCCGTGCAGTCCCCCCAGCAGCAGTCGTCTGTTGTTGGCTCTTCTCAGTCTTCTCATCCTGTCATCATTGCCTCGTCGCAGCCGCACCCGGTAACATAACTTTTTGAAATTCATTTTATGTCCGTAGCCGCTGAACAATAAAATAAATCAGCAGCAGCAATATTTATTTTATTTATTGAAAATAAAACTTTTTTTATCACCTATTAAACTTTAGGAGTCTTCCATTATTGCTATATTTCTTTTTACTGCACTGTTCCATTATTTTAATAACGAAATATCATTTAATAATGAGGAATATATTTATCTCGAAACTATATTCTCTATTAGAAATTCATTGTATTTCAGCAACAAATTGGCTTTAAATTAACAAGAATAAGTCTAGATTTTATTTGGTTGTTCTGGGTAATCATAATTATTATCAGTAATCTCATTAAAGAACAAAACTTTAGGTAACAATTGGAAATCGACAAGCTAACCACGGTCTGATTACTACTTGGGGGGGACAAGGGAGTAAAATAAAGTACTTATTTTCTTCTCCCCCTCAAGCTTATATGTAACTTGCTCTCGAAGTTTGGTTGAACCAGACGCCACAAAAGTTGCTTCGTAGATTAATAGTAATAAAAAATAATTGAGTAATGACTCCAAACATTGACGGCAGGCTGGTGGTGGCAGCATGAGTGGCGCGGTCTCGTCAGGCGCCCCTACCATGGTGCTCGCCTCAGCCACCTCCCTGCCCCAGGCACACCTCCTGCAGCTGCCTCTTGGTGCGTTCCTCATGCCGGATACAACTCCCTCAATCGGGATACAACTCCCTCAATCGGGATACAACTCCCTCAATCGGGATACAACTCCCTCAATCGGGATACAACTCCCTCAATCGGGATGCAACTCCCTCAATCGGGATACAACTCCCTCAATCGGGATACAACTCCCTTAATCGGGATGCAACTCCCTCAATCGGGATACAACTCCCTCAATCGGGATACAACTCCCTCAATCGGGATGCAACTCCCTCAATCGGGATACAACTCCCTCAATCGGGATGCAACTCCCTCAGTTGTTATATTCAATTATTCATTGCTCTCTCTGAAGCAGACGTTTACGGTACGCTATTTGGAATATACTTCAAATATGTGAATGTGGTCAATTAGAGGCTTATCCATTATTTGACACCAATGCTACGATAGTCAATCGTGGATGAATTTCGTACCTGACACGGCGTGTGCTTCAGTCTCTGTTCATAATTTCCTTGCGTTCATTTAGTGCCAGTTACTGACAAAGCAGGAACGCCTTATTTCAATTGATGTCACTCATGCTATTCTCTATGTGCCTTGACGAAATTATTTTGAATTATGTGTATAATTTGATTGAAATATATAAAATGTATAACGCGTCCTATGTTGTTTCAATGCGTGCAGTGCAAGGCTCGCAACTGGCGGCTCAGCTGGCCAAGCCCCCCGGACAGCACCTCCAGCAGCAGGCGTCGGTAAGCGTCTTCCAGGTAAGAGGTACAAGGAAGCTAGCTCCTCAAAATTATAGTAAATATTTCTGAGCATATTTTCTGTGCATTATACCGTATAATATGCATGCATTAAATGATTATTGATTGACCTTCACGCAATCAAAATTACAATAAATTCCTTGAATCCATTCAGGCAATCATGCTGTAAATGCTATACTTAACGTGGAAGAAATTTCATATTGGAACATTCATGGTAACGCCTGACTTCCAGTATCCATCGAAGGCAGTTCCTTGTGGTTACCCAAAATCACAGTGGCTTATTTTAAACTGAGATTAATTTATTTTATTGCATGCAGAGTTCAAGCAGCAGCGGAGGCATCAATACGTACACCTGCACCAGCAGCAGCGGCAGCAGTAGCAGTGGAGGGGACCTGCTGGTGTCGAGTGCAGGTCTTCTTCCACGGCCCCCACAGCCTGTGCTACCGCGCTCCTCCAAGCATCATGTGCGCCTCACACCCTCTGCATTTTGCACTTCATGTGTTGTGTCTCCTGTGTCACGTGATCGTTTATGTATTGCGCCTCCTGTGCTGCACAACTGTATCTCCCGAACCTCTGTGTCTCCCGTCCCTCTGTGTCTCCTGTCCCTCTGTGTCTCCCGTCCCTCTGTGTCTCCCGTCCCTCTGTGTCTCCTGTCCCTCTGTGTCTCCCGTCCCTCTGTGTCTCCTGTCCCTCTGTGTCTCCCGTCCCTCTGTGTCTCCTGTCCCTCTGTGTCTCCCGTCCCTCTGTCTCAATTTGCGATTTCTTTCTTTGGGGACATCTAAAAGAGAAGTTCAGAAGTTGCCCTCACACCCTACCACAGCTAAGGGGATGGATTATTGCAGCAGAGGTTATGGCCATACCTCGCCATATGTGTGAACGTGCTGTAGAAAACTTCCGAGAACGACTCCCAACAGTGTGATGCAGTTAACAAACCCCATTTTCCTGATATTGTTTGCAAAACATAAGTATTTTAAATGGGATGTTACGCTAATCTTGAGGAAAAAAAAACTTTCTTCTTTATGTACCTCCATTACTCTTTTATTTAGCCCCAAAACTGTTCAATCAGTTCTGCCCCACCCTGTATAAGCTAGCTAACACATTTAAATTGTATATTGTAATCAATATATAACAAATAGTCAAATAGTTAAAGACTACTTATAGCCTTATAAGAATTAGCTAAGCTGCTAGCTAAGTACGTATTGCACACTTGATGCCTCTGTACCAAAAACATTCAATTTATTAAAACCTAATACACACTAAAGGCAACAAGTTTATATACCAATTTGTCATTTATAGTACGGTACATTTATACTAAGCCATGGATAACAATACCTCAATATAAATTAAAGACTGCCACTCAATATATTTAATTATATGAAAAAATCGAAAAAATAAAAAAAATCAAGTGATTTAATCACATGATTTAATCATTTTGATTTAATCATTGCCAACCCTGCTCCCGACCCTCTGTGTCTCCCGACCCTCTGTGTCTCCCGACCCTCTGTGTATCCCGACCCTCTGTGTCTCCCGACCCTCTGTGTATCCCGACCCTCTGTGTCTCCCGTCCCTCTGTGTCTCCCGACCCTCTGTGTCTCCCGTCCCTCTGTGTCTCCCGACCCTCTGTGTATCCCGACCCTCTGTGTATCCCGACCCTCTGTGTCTCCCGACCCTCTTTGTCTCCTGTCCCTCTGTGTCTCCCGATACTCTGTGCCTCCCGACCCCCTGTGTCTCCCGACCTTCTGTGTCTCCCGACCCTCTGTGTCTCTCGACCTTGTGATGAGTTTAGGACGTCTTAATCCACGGTCAAGCTGATGCTCCGCCTTCGTCGTCCTATGTCTCCGAGTCGTCGCTAGGCAGGTCACCCCGCCCTCTTTTCCCGGATGTAACGTTGGCCGTGTTCCGTTTATTTGCCCTCCTTTGGGCCAGCTGATGCAAGATGCTATTGCTTGTCACTTGCTGAGGGTAGTTTCCCATTACTGGACAATCCGGGATCTTTCTCAACCACTTGTCCAGTCGTCTCTTGAATGTTGCAAGGGTGAACTCCCCTCCTCTCAGCGCTTTTGGCAAGGCATTAAAGAGCCTCGGTCCTACCTCGGACAGTGATCCCTCACGAAGAGTCTGTACTCTGGCCGCGGCTCGGTTATTAAATGGGGGAATCCTGCTTCTCCTCATTATCTGTGCCATCTGATGCTAAGTAGCGATGCGGCATCCCGATCTCTGTGCGGACTCTGTATCTCATTACTTCCAACTTGGTGCCGTTGAACTGCATATTTTTCACTAGGGCCCAATCGTAGATTGACGATAGATCATCCTGTAACCTCTCGCAGTCTAGGCCATCTGTGATCTTCATCAGCACTCTTGTATCGTCCGCAAATGACGATGTAGATGCGTGGGTGAGTTCCGAGTCAGTGTCGGCAATGTGGATGAGGAAGAGGATCGGTCCAAGCACTGAGCCCTGCGGGACTCCGTTTTTCACCCTCGCTTCTCTCGATTTCGCGTTTCCAATTGCGACAGCTTGTACTCTATCTGTAAGGAAGTTGTGGATCCACCTCAACAGGCTACCTCCTACCCCCAACAGCCTCAGCTTTCTAAAGAGCACCTCATTGCCAACTTTGTCAAAAGCTTTAGCAAAGTACAGGTATATCACTTCCACGCCAGCTCCCTCTTCCAGCTGGGCCACTAGACGGTGATGGTGCTCCAGTAACTGCGACAAACAGGAACGGTTACGCCGGAAACCATGTTGTCCGTTATTGTACAGGTCAGCCTCTTCCATATACCGGACAAGCCTCCTGACCACTACCTTCTCAAAAACCTTGGTCACATGTGAGGTCATGGTCACAGGTCTGTAATTTTGGGGTCTGTCCCTCGCACCTCCTTTGTGGATTGGCGTTATCAGTCCTACTTTTAGGCCCTCAGAAATAATTCCCTCCATCATCGAGGCTTTCCAGAGCATTGTGAGCGGAGGCTTCAGCGCTCCAACACACTACATCAACAGCACTGCCGGAATTCCATCCGGTCCTGGTGCTGAGAACGTCGCCAGTCCCTTTGTGTCTCCCGTCCCTCTGTGTCTCCCGACCCTCTGTGTCTCCCGTCCCTCTGTGTCTCCCGTCCCTCTGTGTCTCCCGTCCCTCTGTGTCTCCCGTCCCTCTGTGTCTCCCGTCCCTCTGTGTCTCCCGTCCCTCTGAGTAAATGCCAAGTAATATTGAGCTTCTCAATGTCAGGCACGCGAGTTTCAAGTCTTTAACTTCTCGGGCGTGCTAGTAGCATAGAACAATAATGAATAATTCACCGTATATTGTTTATTGTTGTGCAACTGCTGAATGTAAGTTAGTGCTATTAGTTGCATGTTGTTTATGCTGCTGTTGCATCCTAAGCCGAGATCGTAATGATGTTGCATAACTCCTACATCAGATTGGCCGAGCACTCCTAGCAGGAGTTATCTTACTGACAACTTGCTTGCGCAGTCACCTCATTCAGCTGTGCACCTTCACCCCGAACAGTGCTTTTCTATTAAATTGTTAATTGACTTGCTTTCAAAGCAAATAAGTTCTTAACGCTTTTATAGGAGCTTTTTTCTCACACTTTGCTCCACTTTTTACTGATGATTTTCATTTGTGTGCAGTTACAGTTAGCGCTTCAGAAGCCTAATCAGAGTCAAATCAACCAGCATTTACAGCAGAAACTTGTGCAACTTGCTGCTCTGAAGTCTCAGCAGCAGCAACAGCTTCATGCACAGCAGCAACAACTACATGCACAACAGCAACAAAAGCAGCAGCAGAAACATCAACTTCAGCAGCAACAATCGGAACAACAGGAGCAGCTTCATCTGGTGCAGCAACCGCCTCCTTCGCTCTGAGTTTCTTATTTTAACTTTAGTTTTTTTATCCTCGCACTTGTAATTTTTTATTTCCGACCCGTCGACTTTTTCAAGTTCACTTTTTGTGAGCTTGAAATATATTCCTGCTCAAATAGATTACCTTATCTATCAATGTTGATACTCTAATTTAGTTGCCTTCCTGTAAATGGCAGACACAGATAACCCTTAGTTTAAATGCATATCTTTTACGTAATTATCGCACGTTTCTTTTTGGTTTTAATATATTCTTCCAGATTTTTAACAGGAAATTCCGTCATGATGGGGACAGTCGTCATTGGCTGCGTATCTATTTAATTGTTTTTAAATCTATTTTAAAGATTTGTGAGCTTGTCCAGGCACTTCGATGTGTATGTTGTCTACGCGTGAGCTTCTTAATTGTTTTGAAAATCGCCGCGATCGAGGCGTTACGTTTCAATGTGTTTCTTATTCATCTAATTCTTTTTTTATTTGTACAAAGTGTAATTGAATCTCAAGCTCGGAATGCTTTATTCTAGTACAATATTCGATTTTATTGATGATAGATTTCAACTGTTACGTTCGGGAGGTGAACCAGGTAAGGAATTTATTTATGGTAGGCTCTATGGGCAATGTTTTATTTTAATAATTTTACCTTTGTCGATTAGATATTTAATTTGAGAAAAAGTTTTCCTCTCTTGTTAAATCTATCGCGGCATTAAGAGTGGCTGCGCAGCGAAAATTGCGAGGCCGTCACTCCTACTTTCAATTAATATTCTGTATAAATTTTCAATCTTACTGGGTATCCAAATATGAATTTCAAGGCGTGATTAAATCTTTGGTATATTAGGAATATCTTGTACATGATTACATGCAGGTTCTCAACAAACGAAATATATTTGGCATATAGTTTGATTGTCAGTGTTCAGGATATATTTCTGTTGGGTTTTATTCTACTGGCGTGTACACGTTGCTTCAGTTCGGCTCTGTGCTTGTCTTTCTTAGGTTTATGGCACCTGTTCAGCTACGAGAAAAACTCATCAGGCTCTCTATTTGTTATTGATGATTAGGTTAGTGAAAGACCGTTATCTCGTTGTCTTTATATTATAAAAGTGAAATAAATAAAAATTACACTGCTGTACATAATTAATATTCATCTGTATTTATGCCGAAAAAAGAGATTCTTGCTTGAAGAACACAAAACAATTTTGCTTTAGAAATTGCTTGTTTCAGAATAGCGTACTATTACTATACCTGCTATCGCGCATTGCAGTTTCAATGGACTGCTGTCTTGCATTCAAGAGAACATATGTTAATTTAATGCATCAATTTTTTTAAAATATCAATTTGCTATCAAGTCGGACAAAATTGATCAAATGTTTCCAATCAAAGGATTGAATTTAAATGAATTCGAAAGATGCTGAGATTGGCAGAAATATCAATCTCTTCGAGCAGCTCAAACTGGGCTCCGAACTAATTCCTCATGAAGCCTATCGGTGTTATTGTTTGAGAGTTGAAACTTTTGAAAAGACGACTTTACAGCTTGAATTTTCTAGGCAATTCTGATTACGGTTGTCGCTTTTACATTTTTGGGAATTCCGATCAGAGCTCGCGAACATTATATTGTGACCCATAGAAATTCGTAATGATGATTTATACTTTCTGTAATTTTGAATGGAGCATTGAAGACATGTACGAGAACCTTTGTACACATTTACATTAACTTCACTTAATATGAGCCTTGATAAACATGGTAGAATATGCTCCAAGCTCATCTCTATTTAGTTTACGAATCCTTAACATAAAACTTGTTTTTCTTCTAATCTTGTCATTACTTCTAAGTATTTGGTTCTTGAAAAGTCCTCAGAGTTCTAGTTAGCAACTTTCCTCCTGAGGGATAAGTACGTTTAAACTCTCCTCATTATGAGAAGCATTTTAGGATCTCCAGACGGCAGAATGAAATTCATCGGCAAGTTGCAACCGTCGAGCTCGCTGACATCGCTAGGCAAGTTCCATCGTCTTTCAGACAACCCACGCATGCAATAAGACAGCTTTTATCTTTCCCTATCGTTTTTGGTACAAAAATTCGAGTAGTACAACTTGCTCAACATGAGCTAGGTAATGAAAATATTTCGCTCGTTTCTCAATGTAAGCTTAGATCTCGTCGGTGCATAATTGAAATGATTATGTATCGGAAAAGATTCTTTCATTCTCCCTCAGTAGTATCCTATTATGCATTGTAAAATAAATTTACATGCGCATAGCAATGATGAGAGAAAAGTTTTGCTGGCCTTTGAGCCAAGAATGAGTTCTTTTTAATGAGGTGACACAGACTTTTGGCGGTGATTTCAACGTTTGATATTATTCTTCACATCTCATTTACATATTTCATGGCATCACCTAAACCTGGAAATTCTTTTTTTTTTATTAGACTCTTAACACCTCTAAATTTGATGGTTTTTAATATTTGCAGACCTGAATTTAGTTAATTCTATCTCTTACTGTAGTTACTTTCAGTCAGAGGTGCACATCATTCCTAGGAACTCCAAAAACATTTTTTTTTCTTTCCTATTGAGTTGAATCTAAGCGTTGCTAAAACGTCAGTAAGGCAGTGAATAATAAAACATTCGAAAACGGTAAGAAAAGAATGCCAAAAACCTGATATGAGGGACAGCTCACGAGAAGTCGCTCATGGAGCGCATTGATCATAGAGAACTTGCTATCAAGTAGGAAACGGATGACCAGCTATCGTACAAACTCGTGAACTTTGTAAATGACCAGTGAGTTCGACTCTGCTATTCAATAATATCAATTTTTTACAGGAATTAAGTCAATAATGATCGAAACTTCACTTTTATACCCCAGAAATATGTGGCGTGAAATATCTTTTTCTTATCTTCTCTTTTCAATTAAACAAATTAGTTGAACACAATATCCCAGATTTTAAACAGCGATAAATATCCCCCTTGTGCCGAAAAAGCAAAGCGGTCCCGTGCTTGAGATGGAGTGACATACATAATGTGTGATTAAATGAACGATAGCGTGAAGTGAAATGAGAAGGTGAAATCTAAATTACTCGTGGTAGTTTACAAGCTGACATAACAGTCTTAAATTGTTAAGACTATTTCAGGGAGATGTTTGGGAACTCACGTATTGCCTTTTGCTTTGGATTTATCATTCTTCAACGTATGAGATTTTGGTCTGATCATGATGAGAGATTTCTTCAGGGAGTAATCCCAACCTTTCCAACGGAACCACACGATGCCTGAAAGTGCAAAGGAATGGATATAATGTCGATTAAATCAATGGCTTTTGTTGAAACATAATTTCTGTGTTTTAAAATAGTATGGGAGAAATGATGTGTCCAGCCGTAATACGATGCGTGGTAGGGCTCTGTGGCCGAGGTCGGTTTATTATCAATGCATTCTGTATGAAGACGTATTTCCATATCCAACTGACCTTGTAAGATCAGCCTCATTTATAAGTATTGCAATTTCGCATATTGATCCCCGAATACTATACCTTGTCTGCCTATATAGTCGTTGGGGTTGGTGAGATAGAGTCCGTTCAGACTCCGTCCACAAGCCCTCCACCACCATCCTCCTTTGAGCATTGATGCGCAATTCAAACTCGATCGATCATTGTCTCTGAAATGAAGAACAGTTCAAACTCAGTTTTTTTTTAATTTCGTCACTTGACAGTCACATTTGTAGACATGCCTCGTAGACACCCGCTCAACGTTCCTTTAATCCAGCAATGGCCAACTCCGGCCATTTAAATCAGTGTTTCATAGTTGCACAATAATACCTATCAAAATTTCTTTTCTAATGAATGAAAACTTGCAACAGAGCTTCTAATGATTTCCTTCTAAGAATTTGCAGGAAGTCTGACCTGTCAAATGTAGAGAAGGGGCTGAGGTTGTGACCATACCACGGGTCGTTGAGAGCGTTACCAGCGTTGCCGGTGTAGCCGCCGATCTCGAGCTTGTACAAGTCCAGCTCGCTGTGGAGTCTGAAGGTGCTGTACTCAGCGTACCTGAGTTACACATTGCAGGTCAGAGTGATCAGGAACAGAGATTTTTTAGTAATTATTCTTCAGAACACTAGCTGGTCAGAGACACGCAAATTAATATTGTTCTATCAAGAAATTAAAAACTCAGTTTAATCTCTTATTTATTTATTTCATCATTTCCGCATTGCGAGCGTTCGCCTACCTACTTATATCCCGTGATTATTAAGCATGAAAATAATTTTAACAAATGTGAATTCACACTTTCTACGATATTAGATTCCATGAGAAGATAAATTCTTAGATGTTTGAAGAAAGTAATCTAGAATCGAATTCATGGCGTCCAACTCTTGCTAGATTTTAGAGCTCGAATTTAAAATTAATTTAAAGTGCAGGAATATTACTTTCTGTTGCCTTCGAAATCTTCGAGCTCGACGCGCAAGATGTGTTCTTGAGTGTTTGTTAATAGATAAATATTTTCATTGCCCAAGTAAAATTCTTTTTCGGGATTGCCGAAGCCGTGCTTGTAGTCCGTCCAGTCTCGGTTGAAGTTCTCTCGAGGGTCACCGAAATCATCTCGTCTTTGAATGACCTGAGATGAAATAACACAACACTCATAGGGAATAATCCATTAAATATTAGCTATCGTGACAATATTCTAACATTGAAATCACATACGACAAAAATAATTTTTTTACTACATTGAACGACTTGACACTCATTTGAGTTTACGGAGTCATAATCATAAATTCCCTTAAGAATACAGGATTTTCGCTAGGTACAAATATATAATCTCATAAAAGTAGTGTTTCTCCGTTCAGTCCATGGGCTTCCAAGACGGTCAATAGCAACTGCTAGGGGTCGAAGGACTAATCCTGAACGTAACGTAAGGCCATCGTAACATCCAGCCAGAGGAATGCTTCATGCACTCTCATTTTTATTGGACGTGAAGTGGACACCTCCCAAACTCCGCCACAGGTTCCCCGTCCCCCTATCACGGCCGTATGTACCGTCTATATGTGAAACTCATTTCTAGACTGCATCGTCGGCCTGAAAGGAAAGCCCCTACACCAAAGTCAATGATTTTTGACAAAACGCCTGCGAAGAGATTTGCCACGTTTTGAACGACAATTAAAAAGGTTTTCACACCACCTATGTTCAGACAGCAGGGCTCCACAGCCGTAACGTGAGTTTTAACAAACAAGATAAGTGCAGTTTGCGGTCGGCAATACGTATACTGTGCTCCATATCATCGTATATTCTTGTCCGCAAGATTCTTTATCTAACTGTGGCAGACTTCGGGCGAGGCAAGTTTGAGAAAAAATAACTATACGCGAGAAGTTGCTATATGAACTATGCACATTGAAACTGTAAGTGAAATATTTTCAAATGTTTCACTTCTAATATTTTCAAAACAAGCATATCGTCCATGTACACTATGCAACATCTGAAAGTATCAACGGTCTAACAAGCCTGTGGAGATGCACAATAAACGCACCGTCCATCCGCCGCCTTCCCTCTTCATGTCGCAGTTGACGTTGAGGAACCAGTAGGTGGTGCCCTTGATGCGGATGTGGTAATTACCGCTTTCCGAGTACCCTTGCTTTAGCAGGTCGCTGCACGAGTAGCCCTGCAAAGCGGGGATATAATAAAATCAACCTGGAAACGATGTGTTGGAGAATAATTTATTGGAATCTTCTGTGAACACGCAAGAAAGATGTTGTTTTAAATAAATGACTATTTCTGAGTTTTTATAGCATTGCACCTACTAGAAAAGCACATGGAATATCTAGAGACAAGAAAGTTCTAGCTGTTCGCGGGTCTCATTGCTGCTCAATTTACCGGTATTTGTGGAAATGAAATTGAACTTACATTTCTTGGAACGAATTATTTCTAAAGTACGCGGAAGATTGGTGAAGACGCAATACAGAAAAAATTAGTACCGTATATACTCATCAATTGAGTGATTTTGCGTGGTTGCACGCCTGGAGTAATGTCATGCATTCGCAGCCAAATCAAAGCCAAGTTTTAAACTTATTTTTATAAAAGCCAATAAGTCCGGCTTTGTGATACGCAAACTACCAATAGCGACGTACAAGTTAGGCTCAAGTTAACAAATAAGTTAAGAAAAGACGGTACATACGGTGATATCATCGTTGACAGGCGGGGCGATGAAGACGCTGCTCACCCTCTTCTTGTGCGCCATGTTGAGCATCATGTCCTGCACGCCCTGGTCCGCGCCAGCGGTCTGGTCGGAGCCGCCCGGCGCTGAACTGTTGACAACTGAAGAACTGTTGGCGCTCCACTTTTGTTGCTCGATCTGATTGAAATTTAATGAAAAGTTATAAATATTACATATAACTATCCGGCAGTAAATGAATTTATCAATTTTCACAGATTAAAAGTCAATCACACAATAAATTTAGAAGTAATTAGGTTTTCTCCTCGTCGCATCGATATTTTTTGAACATCGTCATTATTGAAATGAGTAGTTTGAGTTGTATTGTCAATGACGATGTTCTTCTCGGGTGAACACTCACTGAACCGTGCAGCGGGAGGGCCACGCCATCCAACTTCTCCTGCAGGCGGGGGTTGGTGGAGCGGTGCAGGAGTGTCACGTGGCTGGGGGAGTTGCTCTGGTCTTCGAGCTTCGAGCCTCCAGCGCTGACTGACCGCGACATGAACTCCGAACGGCGCTCCACCTGGCCCAATGAGAATTCAATTTAATTAATCCTAAATTACACTCAATTAATGAATTTTTTTCTATTGTTGCGACATTTCGCTATCGGTTACACAAACCAAGCCTTTTTAAATTTAATTTTCTACAAATGCGATGCGTTTGATGGAAATTTGAATATAAGCCATCATAATCTGAAACGTGTATTAGTTTATTAACGGTTATGTAGATTTAACATCAGTTACAGGCACCTGCGTGCTGTTGTGCACAACTCGGTCCTTCCTGTCAGTGACGTCCGTCTTCATGTGCTGGATGGCTCGCTCCTGGCGCTGTATGTTGGACAGCAGAGCGTCGCTCTTCGTGCCCACCAAGACCGACCAGACCTGCGAAATAGCAGCAAATTTTGCTAGTCTGACACTTAGAGGAATAAAATGCTGTTTCCATATACGAGTTCTAATAAAGAGATAGCACTCTCTTCGTTCCGTAGAAATAGGGTGCGTGGAAAATTTAAAATAAAATCGCTTATTAGACTTCTTATTACATCTGACATCAGGTTACTATCATGATAAATAGTACATATTCGTACAAATTGAATTTCTAACGTGGCCGTCAGCATGATATAGCCGTCTGGCCTTTCCACAAAAGATTTGTGTAAGCAATAATTGAAGTGGGCGCTGTTGAAGGCTGGGATGGCAGTCTTGCCCTGCAGTTTAGTTCTTGGCCGTTATAGTGGGAGCTTACAACTATTGATCTTTTATACTGGTCAATGTTTCGATGTGTGGCTTCTCATTGATGATTGGGCTTTGACAGTTCCTTGGGCTCTGACAGCCTAGTGTTTTTAGCGCATTTTCTCATTTATAGAAAAAATGCACTATTGTGCTCGCCATGTCCGTCTGTCTGTCTGTCCGTCCGTCTGTCCGTGACATCAAGTTTTCGTCGACGAGAAAATGCGCTCTCTGTCACTCACTGCAGCGAGTACCGAGTTATATTTTTTTACATTGGCAGGGAGTAATAGTTGTGTTTTAACGTGTCCAAGTTCTTGAATAAAACAGTTTTAAACACCTAAGGTGAACTGGAGGAATTGTGCAGTACCAAATACTTCAGGGGAAATTTTAATTACCGTAGTTCGTAGCTGGCGTTCAGCCCATGGCATCATCTGTGATAAGTATGAGAACGCCGATCACAGGTCAATGACTGTCGTCTGAACTTTTTGAATAAGAACTTCTACCTTGTACGTAAATGAACTTAATTAACACATAAATATATTTATAGACACATATTGCTTTCCCTGTGAAATCAGTTTGATATTGGGCCCGCAAATGCTGTCTATATCAAGGTGCGGTGAGGCACTGAGGCACGCTAAATGCCGTACGCGGCTAATGCAGAAACATTTTCAGAGAGCTTCATAATACTTACAACACATTAGGAAAACTAATTTGTCTAAAAAAATCGTTTTTAATGTAGAATACATTTTTTAGTTATTCACCTCATCCATCTTTTTGCGCACTTCTTGAAGTGGAGCCAACTTCTGAACGAGGACGTCCAGCTTGCTGCGCGACTCAGACAGCGGGCCTGGGAAGTCGCCCTCCGTGTTGCTGGTAGAAATTTAGTCAAGTAAAGGATTAAACGGAATTGGTTGGGTATGAATTGTCTTTAATCAAAATGATTGATTTCGACTAAAATTTTGGGTTTTCACTTGCGGGATTTATGAGCCCCAACTGCGATGTGCTAAATCAGTACTCGAACGGTTGCAGTTATAATTGTACATCGAGGGAAATTATCACTTCACATAAAATACACTTTTTTCCACCTAGTATCAGAAAACCACTGTATCTTTAGAGATAAGTATTGCATCAATCATAGTCATGAACTACGACGTCAAATTACTCCACCTTGCAGCACTATTTCTAACAAAATAATTTCAACTTGCAAAAAATAAAATCAATCATTAAATAATTCAGAGTATATAGACTCATACTCACCCAGGTGCCGAGGCATTGACAGAAACAGGTCCGTGTGAGATGACAGCCTGTCGCACCTGCACCATATTGTCGATCATGTGCTCGATCTGCTCGCTGTTGAGGCCCGCGTGCATGGAGAACCTCTGCGACAACTCCTCTACCGACTCCTGCACCCGCTCCAGCGCCGACACCACGTGCTGCAGGTCTTGGTTCTTTGTTGCGAGGTATAATGCGCAATAATTATTTCTTCAATTTTTAAGAAGAGCAAACAATTGGTGGGAAAAAATGTTCGAGTTTATCTGAATCTAAAGCTTTTCTATTTAGTTTTATGATCGCAAGATATCAAAACATAATTCTGTAAATTTGATCTGCTCTACGAGGGCTTCGATCATTAAATAAATCAATTAACATGCGCCATTCATGTTGTAGTCAACGTAAGTTTTTTCACAGAATCAATGTTTTGAGGAATAGCCCTTTGCTGATTGATCATTTAAAAATAAGTATTTTTAAATCACAAAATATATTAATGCACTTCAGTTTATAAACCAATCTCACCTTGTAGAGAGCCTGTCTCTTCGCTCCGACGCTCATATCGACTTGGTAGTTTTCAGACGCCTCGGCCACGAGCTCGTCAGCGTTGGGCGCCCCGGAGACGCTCAGCATCAACAAACTGTTTGCGTCTAACTGCTGTTGTAAGTTCGATAGTTTCGAATCTATACTGGACATATGATTTGCTACTAAATCCAATCGGTCTTCAACATTGCTTTCAGTTTTAGGTGGAGCTTCGTCCTCGTTTACTTGATTTGGCTGAGCATTGAGCGTACTTGAGAATGGGGTATAATGTAGCTTATCAGAAGAAAAACCTGTATTGCTTGATTCTAGAGGCGTTTTAGAGTAAAAATATACTGGCTGTGGAGAAGGCTTCGAAAAAATGTCGGAGGGATTAGACACGGGTGTGTCAATTCCCACTGAGGGATCGAATACGAGTGGTTGGGGAGGCTGGGGATTGTGGTGATACTCGTAGAAAGTCGGAGGACAGGATGGGCCAGAATCCAGTAATTTCGTCTCTATTAAGTGGATCATCTGCGGAGTATAGAAGCTTGAATAAATATCTTGTTTATCTACTATGCTACACGGTTACTAATTATCTTACTACTTTCTATGTTATCCTATAAAATTGACCGGAACGACTCAAGTAAATTATAATCCCAAAGAATAGTCACTTTTCTCAGCGTTTTAACGAGCTCTAGGGTCGCTAACTCGCAAAATATTCCATTTAGTGAAGACTGGATTGAATTAGGAAACTGGTTTGGGAGCGTAACACAAGGAATCGTAAGCCAAAGTGCCAACCTTACGCCATAAATCTGTATTTGTTGCTGAGAAGATGGCATCTCAGTGACGGTCATCAGTCATGGAGGCAAGTGAACCTGCAAAGCTAAACCGAGTCCAACACTCCCGTAATCTGACACCTTGAGAAACAGCTCTTCACTAAGCCTTTTGTCACGGTATTTGCACAAAGAACCATTACTTGTTTGCACACTGCGAGGCCAGCAAGGTGCGTCCATATTTCATGCTTAAGGTGCATTCCTTCTAATATAAACGATACCCTAATCTACATTGCATGAGGCCTAGCTCACTTAATCTCGAGTTAGTAACGGCTTCCATGAGGTCTTGCATAAGCAGGGCTTTTAAACGCAGTTTTAGTGCTGAGAAAATTTGAGTCACTGCGTCACTCAGAACTCGTACATAAATCAGGCTTAGATAAAATGATTACTAACTCTCCTAAGTCAAAAATAAACCCTTCGAAATAAATTGACTGCAAGCTAACTGACATGATTTACCGTACGCTTTTATATGATCTGAAGCCCATTTGTTGATTTGATGATCGATGATGGTACACACACAATGTAACTATGAACGCCACATGATTAATAAAGGACTGTGCCTGCCGAGTTGTACATAATGACTCCCGATAAACGACTATTGTCGTCATGAATGAAAAATACTAGTTCAATGCACTATGGAAATTTGCCGAAAAATTTCGTTCTTCGAAGCAAGACGACTTAGGTGACTGGGTGAGTGAATTACCTTGTTTGTGGTATTGAGGGTGTGCTGGAGGCTGCCCTTAGTGAGGTGACTGTGTAGGTGAGTAGTGAGGTGACTGGGTAGGTGAGTAGTGAGGTGACTGGATGGGTGAGTAGTGAGGTGACTGGGTAGGTGAGTAGTGAGGTGACTGGGTAGGTGAGTAGTGAGGTGACTGGGTGGGTGAGTAGTGAGGTGACTGGGTAGGTGAGTAGTTAGGTGACTGGGTAGGTGAGTTACCTTGTTTGTGGTGTTGAGAGTGTGCTGGAGGCTGCCCTCGAAGCTGTCCATCCTGTGGGCGAGGTGCTGCAGGGCGCGGTCCATGTTCTCCACCCTGCGCAGTTTGGTCTCCAGGGTGGTCAGCAGCACCTCGAACAAGTTGAACACGTACGGATCCCTGCAACACGAAGTCGACAAATGAATTGCGTGTAGAACAGAATCTAAGAGGGCAATGACCTCTTTAATCTAGAAAAATAAATCATTAAAGTTTATTGATCACACGAAATCAGAGCAATTTTTATAATATTGTTTTGAAATCATGTGTTCAAAATAGTACTATTAGTATTTTTCCTGTCGCACATTTTTTATATTTTTTGAACTAAATGATGAACATGAATGAGCAGTCACGTTATTGCAATTACTTGATATTCTTGAAGTTCAAATGTGTTTTTTTTAATTCAATATACTAGTACAACTCTCATTTTAAGTTCCCTAACTAACTTTCGGAGGAGGCATTACAAAAATTATGATGCTGTAGCTGCTGCTTTTCTCATGACGGATTGGAAAAAGTCAAGCGGTGTATAAAACCCGGCAGGGTCCATACGCGCGTTGTGGCCAAGCATCGGAGCGTGACTGGAACAGCGTCTGCGGAGCGGCTCTAATCCAATATTATTGTGGCACCTAAGAGACAATCTCTTTCTTTGAATCGCTTTCGTTGAGCCTTAATACTGTCGTACATCAGCGCATGGAATGAAAAATTCTATTGTGAGGAGAAAGTCATTATTTTCTCGACTGTAGAAGCAGCGAGGACAGGGCGACGCGATACGCTACGCTTGGGCAGTGAAGCCGCACGCGTTACTGCAGAGGCATTAAAAAATGTGGCGGCCATCGGTCTTTGCTCACGGCAGGCGAGTGCGCCACGGGGCTGAAAGAGCTAGGAGGTATAACAGCGAACTGGCTGTTTGGTTATGTTAAAACAGCAGCAGCATTATGTGGCAATAACTAGCAGGCTGTTTTGTTATGTTCGAACAACAGCAGCATGATGAGGAAACAGCGAACTGGCTGTTTGGTTATACTATAACAACAGCAGCATGATATGGAAACAGTGAACTGGCTGTTTGCTTATGTTAGAACAACAGCAGCATGATGAGGTATAACAGCGAACTGGCTGGTTATGTTAAAACAACAGCAGCCTGATATGGAAACAGCGAACTGGCTGTTTGCTTATGTTAGAACAACAGCAGCATGATGCGGAAACAGCGAACTGGCTGTTTGGTTATACTAAAACAGCAGCAGCATGATATGGAAACAGTGGACTGGCTATTTGGTTATGTTAGAACAACAGCAGCATGATGAGGAAACGGCAAACAGGCTGTTTGATGATGAAGGAATAGCAGCATGATGTGGAAACAGTAAATGGTCTATTTGGTTAGCTTAAAACAGTAGCAGCAAGATGGGGAAACAGCAATTGTACGCTGTTTGATGATGTAGGAAAAGCAGAAGCATGACGTAGAAACATCTAAAAAGTAATGAGTCGGTATTGAAACAATGGGTTTGATAAAAACTTAAAAGCAAAGAAAACTCCACAAAAATTCATAGTATCTTTAAAGAAAACGTTTCGGAGTCCAGCTCCATCGTCAGTTCGAAAATTCTAGAACACAGATAAATCAGTAATTAGTACAGTCATGATTGCAACAAAATACCTAAGCTGTAAAACCTATCTATTTACAATTTCAAGCGGGTAAGAGCTAAAAGCTAAATTCAAACTAGGCCTCTGTTTAAAAATATACAATGATTCTAAAATGCGCAAATCAGAAACACCGGAACTGGAAGCNTCGCGCCCCCCTCATTCAGCTGTGCGGGCTCACGCCGAGCAGTGCGATGTTCCAGTGTCTGACAGTGACTTCAAAGTTTTAGCTTCCAGTTCCGGTGTTTCTGATTTGCGCATTTTAGAATCATTGTATATTTTTAAACAGAGGCCTAGTTTGAATTTAGCTTTTAGCTCTTACCCAGTTGAAATTGTAAATAGATAGGTTTTACAGCTTAGGTTTTTTGTTGCAATCATGACTGTACTAATTACTGATTTATCTGTGTTCTAGAATTTTCGAACTGACGATGGAGCTGGACTCCGAAACGTTTTCTTTAAAGATACTATGAATTTTTGTGGAGTTTTCTTTGCTTTTAAGTTTTTAGTGAATTTGCGATTAAAGCAAACAAGTGACACTATTACTTATATACGTTCAAAATGGGTTTGATGCTTACGATTATTTGTCAACCCCTGTATAAATTATAACGATTTTTTAACTTTTACATGTAAATTGCAAGTTTCTCTTTAAAACAAAAATGCAATTGGCAAGCCATTGATTGAAGAGCAGTATTTTGAATTGTTCAGGTTATATTTTTGCTTATATGCCACCATATTATGTGTTATGCCACCATATTATGTGTTATGCCACCATATTATTTCTCACAACTACCTTACGATTGAAAGGAATTTGTTATGAAAAATAGCGGGTATCCCGACATTGTTGTAATGTATTGCAGTTGTAATGTATTGCAGACAGGAGATTACTATAGGAAATTGATATTTTACTTATTAGGGATGTTGACTCTAAGCTCCCATCCTCGTCGCGGACGTCTCCTTCTTATTCATCACTGATATGTTTAAACTGATTGCTGTTACTTTGACAAAGTATTATATGGTAGTGCGCGATTTCTCTCCTGTCGATTTGTTATAGCTAACGGGAAGTATTACTACGATTGAATTGCTAATTTAAATTTATTAGTTTTAAATGAAGCTAAGTAAAGATACAGTACAGATTATAATGGTTGTCTCTTTGAACGACGTAAATCTTATTAAGCTTTTGATTTCTTTAGAGATCACATTCAACTAATAAATTCGTAATCGATTTTTCAGCTGATTGACTTCAACTGGCAGAAAGTTAAAAAAGTCTGCAGAAATTTTAATGATTATAAGAAGAAAAGTACCTTACATCATGCAAATATTTATCGCAGTTGTTTGCGATGTATTTTTCTAGTCACTGAATAACATAATCAAGAGAGCACATGCATGATAGTTGGGGTGTTTCGTACATTCGGTCAATTTAAGAGATACGTTGATCTAAAATTACCGAGAAAATCTGGCATACACCACGATCATGAAGATGAAGATTTGAATAACGATGAATTAGTCTATCGATTTTTCACCCTCTTCCAAAAATGCCCTAACGATTTCATTTTTTATTGAAGCTATGATATTTAGATTCTTGAAAAACAGCCATACCCGAAAACGCACTCCTAGCACTTCATTCATCAAATAAACGAAACTACAAGGAAAGTGCAGTAAATGATGCACGTTCCTTATTCACTTTGTGAATAAAGAAAGGGTAGAATTTGTCATGACGCAAGCGAATTACCATATTCTTCATCCTAATTGGAAGTATTCCCATTTCCTATAAAATTGTGACAAGCGCTATGAGACAGAGTAGAGCGAGCGTTCAAGATCACTAGTCATCACCGAGGCGCTAGTCACCTAACTCTGCACTGATGGCCGCTGCTGGCCCTTAACTCTGCACTGATGGGCGCTGCTTGCCCTTAACTCTGCACTGATGGGCGCTGCTTGCCCTTAACTCTGCACTGATGGCCGCTGCTTGCATGGCAGCGGACGGTGCCGCGTGTTGGCAACTTTCACTGCCTCGCCACGGCGCTGTGGTAGCACAGATGCCGGCTAAAACCGTCGCTCAGTTCATTAATGCAATTTGATTCGATTGTATTAGATTCTAATTTTATAGAGGTAATTAATTGATTGTAAATATAGTCATCAAAATTGATTTGAACCCATTACTTAATGGGTTAACCGATTAGTAGCATTCGAACTTAAAACATTCGTGGGCATAGATTAAGTAAAGTAAGAACTATAGTTATTTTTTATTAAATTAATTTAATTACTTAATTTATCTTAAGCGCGTGGTTTGCTTACTTTGCTTGCATTATGCTTTATTATGATATTGAACACCAAAAATAATATACATGGCATGCTTGCCTTCATTTCTTCTACAATATTGCACAACAATTAGTTTCACGATAGAATTGTGACGAGTTTTCATTAGTATTACGAAACAAAATATAAGTTCTTTACTGACAACTGGGAACATAAACGTTTGCAAAGAAATGCTACTGATGCAGCCTTGTTATCTTTGAACGCAAGTATTCTTGTTCGCACCTTATCCCTTAATATTATATATAATGAAGTGTTATCAAGCCGGTTGTTGCGTAATATTTGAGTATAATTTAGATAGTACATAATTTCTATTCATTATTTTACTAATTATTTTCCCCTTCCTTAATAAAAATAACACAAATTTTTGAATCAGATTATTTACTCATTTGCGAGTTATTTTATGTATGTGCGTTTTTTCGTCATTCAAAATATGAAAGATGTGAATTTTATTGAATTTTACTTGGCAGGCAAAATCAGTGCTATAAAATTGGTAGCAAATTCGTTGATGGAGTCTTGAATTAATTTGACGATAATAATTCTAATGATACGAATCTGGACTCAATCAATGCACTATTAACTCAACTAATTTTACACTTTAAGCGTTCCGAAAAACTTATTAGCTCAAATTCATCTCAAAAATGGATCGTGCACCTTATCTGACATAAACGACCAATGCTTTTTCCAGGGTGACATAGAATTTTGGCAGGACAAGCAATGACCGCGTCCTTCGTTACGGAGATCAAAACGACAAAAAAAAAACATGGAATGAAAAATATTGAGCAATTGTGCCATTCTCTTCAGCTGTGACCTATCTCTTCAATTGTTGACCTATCTCTTCAATTGTTAACCTATCTCTTCAATTGTTGACCTATCTCTTCAATTGTTGACCTATCTCTTCAATTGTTGACCTTCCTCTTCAATTGTTGACCTTCCTCTTCAATTGTTGACCTTCCTCTTCAATTGTTGACCTTCCTCTTCAATTGTTGACCTATCTCTTCAATTGTGACCTATCTCTTCAATTGTGACCTACCTCTTCAATTGTGACCTACCTCTTCAATTGTGACCTACCTCTTCAATTGTGACCTATCTGTTCAATTGTGACCTACCTCTTCAATTGTGACCTATCTGTTCAATTGTGACCTATTTCTTCAATTGTGACCTATCTCTTCAATTGTGAC